ATCTAACCTGACAGTAACAGACCTTCCTTATCAACCTTACCTTCCAAATACGCTATCCTACCAGTAACAATCATTTGACCTTATCACAGTAACAGTCATGGTGACACAGGAAAATACGTTTGACCTCCTACACAATAACAATCTAACCTGAGTTAACAATCGTACAGTTAAATACGCTATCATATCTAACCTGAGTTACAGAGTCACAATACCTCTAAAATCGTTAAAATCGTTGGTTGATCCTACCAATATCTAACCTGAGTTAACAGATCATTTGACAATCCGGAAATACGCTATCCTACCAATATCTAACCACAGTTACAGAGTCGTGGTCACTCCGGAAATACGCTATCCTACCAATATCTAACCTGAGTTACAGATGGTGACACTCCGGTCGTTGGTTGAAATACGCTATCCTACCAATATCTAGTGTAGACATGGTCGTTGGTTGGACATCCGGAAATACGTCCTTCCTAACCTGTAGACAGTCGTGGTGACAATCAGAATACGTTATCCTACCAATATCTAACCTGAGTTACAGATGGTCGTGGTTTGGAATCCTATATCCCACATGTAGAGATGGTCGTTGGTTGGAATACCTATCCTACCAATATCTAACCTGAGTGTACAGATGGTCGTGGTGACATCCGGAAATACGTTATCCTACCAATGTATTACAGGTCTAATCCTGAGTTACAGTGGAGATGGTCGTTGGTTGGAATCCTAGCTCTCCTGCCGCCCAGATGTAGACATGGTCGTTGGTTGGAATACCTATCCTCCTATCTAACCACAGTAGAGATGGTCGTTGGTTGGAAATACGTTATCCTCCTATCTAACCACATGTAGAGATGGTCGTCCGGTTGGAATCCTACCAATATCTCCTTCTGACATGTAGAGATGGTCGTTGGTTGGAATCCTAGTACACATGTAGAGATGGTCGTTGGTTGGAATCCTAGCTCTCCTGCCGCCCAGATGTAGAGATGGTCGTTGGTTGGAATCCTAGCTCTCCTGCCGCCCAGATGTAGAGATGGTCGTCGGTTGGAATCCTAGCTCTCCTTCTGCCAAGATGTAGAGATGGCCGTCGGTTGGAATCCTAGTAATTCTAACCTGATGTAGAGATGTCGTTGGTTGACATCCGGAAATACGCTATCCTACCAATGTAGAGATGGTCGTAATCCTGAGTTTCACATGTAGAGATGGTCGTTGGTTGGAATCCTAGTACTCCTTCTGCCCACATGTAGAGATGGTCGTCGGTTGGAATCCTAGCTCTCCTTCCGCCCAGATGTAGAGATGGTCGTCGGTTGGAATCCTAGTACTCCTTCTGCCCACATGTAGAGATGGTCGTTGGTTGGAATCCTAGCTCTCCTGCCGCCCAGATGTAGAGATGGTCGTTGGTTGGAATCCTAGCTCTCCTTCTGCCCACATGTAGAGATGGTCGTTGGTTGGAATCCTAGTACTCCTTCTACCCACATGTAGAGATGGTCGTTGGTTGGAATCCTAGTACTCCTTCTTCCCACATGTAGAGATGTTCGTTGGATAGAATCCTAGCTCTCCTTCCGCCCACATGTAGAGATGGTCGTTGGTTGGAATCCAAGTACTCCTTCCGCTCAGATGTAGAGATGGTCGTTGGTTGGAATCCTAGCTTTCCTTTCGCCAAGATGTAGAGATGGTCGTTTGTTGGAATCTAAGTACTCCTTCCGCTCAGATGTAAAGATGGTCGTTGGTTGGAATCCTAGCTCTCCTTCCGCCAAGATGTAGAGATGGTCGTTTGTTGGAATCCTATTACTCCTTCCGCCCAGATGTGGAGATGGTCGTTGGTTGGAATCCTAGCTCTCCTTTCGCCAAGATGTAGAGATGGTCGTTTGTTGGAATCCTATTACTCCTTCCGCCCAGATGTAGAGATGGTCGTTGGTTGGAATCCTGGTACTCCTTCTGCCCACATGTAGAGATGGTCGTTGGTTGGAATCCTAGCTCTCCTTCCGCTCACATGTAGAAATGGTCGTTGGTTGGAATCCTAGCTCTCCTTCCGCCCAGATGTGGAGATGGTCGTCGGTTGGAATCCTAACTCTCCTTCTGCCGAGATGTGGAGATGGTCGTTGGTTGGAATCCTAGTAATCGTTCTTCCCACATGTAGAGATGGTCGTTGGTTGGAATCCTAGCTCTCCTTTCGCCAAGATGTAGAGATGGTCGTTGGTTGGAATCCTAGCTCTCCTGCCGCCCAGATGTAGAGATGGTCGTTGGTTGGAATCCTAGCTCTCCTGCCGCCCACATGTAGAGATGGTCGTTGGTTGGAATCTTAGCTCCTTTCGCCCAGATGTAGAGATGGTCTCCTTCCTTCGCCCAGATGTAGAGATGGTCGTTGGTTGGAATCCTAGTACTCCTTCTACCCACATGTAGAGATGGTCGTTGGTTGGAATCCTAGTAATCTTCTTGTAGAGATGGTCGTTGGTTGGAATCCTAGCTCTCCTTCCGCCCAGATGTAGAGATGGTCGTCGGTTGGAATCCTAGCTCTCCTTCCGCTCAGATGTGGTGATGGTCGTTGGTTGGAATCCTAGTACTCCTTCCGCCCAGATGTAGAGATGGTCGTTGGTTGGAATCCTAGCTCTCCTTCTGCCCACATGTAGAGATGGTCGTTGGTTGGAATCCTAGCTCTCCTGCCGCCCAGATGTAGAGATGGTCGTTGGTTGGAATCCTAGCTCTCCTGCCGCCCAGATGTAGAGATGGTCGTCGGTTGGAATCCTAGCTCTCCTTCTGCCCACATGTAGAGATGGTCGTTGGTTGGAATCCTAGTACTCCTTCTGCCCACATGTAGAGATGGTCGTTGGTTGGAATCCTAGCTCTCCTGCCGCCCACATGTAGAGATGGTCGTTGGTTGGAATCCTAGCTCTCCTTCTGCCCACATGTAGAGATGGTCGTTGGTTGGAATCCTAGTACTCCTTCTGCCCACATGTAGAGATGGTCGTTGGTTGGAATCCTAGCTCTCCTTCCGCCCAGATGTAGAGATGGTCGTTGGTTGGAATCCTAGCTCTCCTTCCGCCCAGATGTAGAGATGGTCGTTGGTTGGAATCCTAGCTCTCCTGCCCCCCAGATGTAGAGATGGTCGTTGGTTGGAATCCTAGTACTCCTTCTGCCCACATGTAGAGATGGTCGTCGGTTGGAATCCTAGCTCTCCTTCCGCTCAGATGTGGTGATGGTCGTTGGTTGGAGAGATCCTTCCGTCGTGTAGAGGTTGGAATCCTAGCTCTCCTTCCGCCCAGATGTAGAGATGGTCGTTGGTTGGAATCCTAGCTCTCCTTCCGCCCAGATGTAGAGATGGTCGTTGGTTGGAATCCTAGCTCTCCTTCCGCCCAGATGTAGAGATGGTCGTTGGTTGGAATCCTAGCTCTCCTTCCGCCCAGATGTAGAGATGGTCGTCGGTTGGAATCCTAGCTCTCCTTCTGCCCAGATGTAGAGATGGTCGTTGGTTGGAATCCTAGCTCTCCGTCCGCCCAGATGTAGAGATGGTCGTCGGTTGGAATCCTAGCTCTCCTTCCGCCCAGATGTGGAGATGGTCGTCGGTTGGAATCCTAGCTCTCCTTCTGCCCACATGTAGAGATGGTCGTCGGTTGGAATCCTAGCTCTCCTTCCGCTCAGATGTGGTGATGGTCGTTGGTTGGAATCCAAGTACTCCTTCCGCTCAGATGTAGAGATGGTCGTTGGTTGGAATCCTAGCTCTCCTTCCGCCCACATGTAGAGATGGTCGTTGGTTGGAATCCTAGCTCTCCTTCCGCCCACATGTAGAGATGGTCGTTGGTTGGAATCCTAGCTCTCCTTCCGCCCACATGTAGAGATGGTCGTTGGTTGGAATCCTAGCTCTCCTTCCGCCCACATGTAGAGATGGTCGTTGGTTGGAATCCTAGCTCTCCTTCCGCCCAGATGTAGAGATGGTCGTTGGTTGGAATCCTAGCTCTCCTTCCGCCCACATGTAGAGATGGTCGTTGGTTGGAATCCTAGCTCTCCTTCCGCCCACATGTAGAGATGGTCGTTGTTTGGAATCCTAGCTCTCCTTCCGCCCAGATGTGGAGATGGTCGTTGTTTGGAATCCTAGCTCTCCTTCCGCCCACATGTAGAGATGGTCGTTGTTTGGAATCCTAGCTCTCCTTCCGCCCACATGTAGAGATGGTCGTTGGTTGGAATCCTAGCTCTCCTTCCGCCCACATGTAGAGATGGTCGTTGGTTGGAATCCTAGCTCTCCTTCCGCCCAGAAGTAGAGATGGTCGTTGTTTGGAATCCTAGCTCTCCTTCCGCCCACATGTAGAGATGGTCGTTGGTTGGAATCCTAGCTCTCCTTCCGCCACATGTAGAGATGGTCGTTGGTTGGAATCTTAGCTCTCCTTCCGCCCACATGTAGAGATGGTCGTTGTTTGGAATCCTAGCTCTCCTTCTGCCCACATGTAGAGATGGTCGTTGTTTGGAATCCTAGCTCTCCTTTTGCCCACATGTAGAGATGGTTGTTGGTTGGAATCCTAGCTCTCCTTCCGCCCACATGTAGTGATGGTCGTTGTTTGGAATCCTAGCTCTCCTTCCGTCCACATGTAGAGACGACATTATCGTTGTGTAGGATAGATATATTGTTGACTCTGAATAAAAGGTATGGAATTAATACATATATATCTAAAAAAAAGTTGTAAAACGTCAAGGTGCGGAGCTTTAAGTGTCATCGAAATGCAGCCCAAATATTTCGTACAGAATATCGACTTTTATCGTAGTCGTGATGTTGTTATGTTTCAGTATAATTAATTATTTCTATTTGAATACCGGCCGCATACTTGGTGTAAGCGCTGAAACTTATGTCCTGCAGTAAGTGAAGTGGCCCCGCCGTGACCAGTGTGTGTGCACTAGTGGTGTATGTGTGTCACCGTCGACGGAAAACCAGGCGCGGTGATTCGTCTCCTGGTGTCGCAACACAGGTATGCAGGCACGCCTCGTAAACTGCATGAAGTAGTGGGATATGGTCCAGTGACGACCCAACACCTATATAGTGCCCTACAGGTATCGTTGTAACCTATTGTGATTGTGATAAGGACAATAGCATTGATAATACTGATACGACCAGCTGTTTGATAACTAGAGTTAATGACGGAGTGGATTACTGTCCGTTACATCGTCCATCGTTTTACTGTGGTGTTGACTTTCGCCTTTGATTGGGATATTTCATTATGACGAGGACAGAAGCCCTTGTGTATTTAACCTCCGTGCTTAGCCTTGCTTTCCGTGAGTACACATAACTTATTAACATACTATCGTCTATAGCGTGTTGTTGAAATCAAGTGTTAAACAAACCCGGCTCTTATAGAGTTTATTTGTTATACCAACTCTTTAGTGCATGCAAAGTTTCATATGGATACAATTATTAATATACCCCAACTAATGTCAGTGTATTTCATTATTGCCTTTCAAATTATCACTCGAAAGCGTACAACGACCCGGCAATACACCGTACTGTCTGCTTGTATGGAAGGTTGATCTATGTTTGGAACGACCCCGTTGATGGCAGATAACGTAGACATTGTATATCGTAACGTTATAATTCCATAGGTAATGGTTCCGTTGTAAATATAGATATTATAACAATGTGATATAAATGTATGAACCTGATATCGCATAACATAACACACCATAGAAGCTTTACTACGATAGAGTGTAATGGAATATGTTATGTAAACAAAAATGTACTACGTAATGATAATTAGGATTGATTCGGGTCTGTTTGGAAATCACTGGCATCGCAAAGCTCGCCCTTCTCCCTGGTTGTATAAGTGGGTATGTCTAGCCTCGGAGTTTTCACGAGGTTTACATACTAGACATTCTCTACACGGCAAGCTAATGGTTGTCCGTGTGAGAAACACTGTGTAATCGTGTTCACGATAAAAACTGACAGCGGCAAACTTTCATAACGACAACAAATACAGCACGTTATTGCTACATTTAGACAGGAAAAACGGTTACAAAACGAGTTTGTTGCGCAATGCTGTGTTGAATGTTGAAAAACAGAATTAAATTAATACAGTTAAATTCTAAAGTTTTTATGTAGCTTGATCTAGATATATTGGAGGCCGTACTCTCCTGTAGTGATAGATACGCTGATTACCGTCAATCAATTTACGCGCGAGCTGAAACACGTCTACAAGTGATATATGAGTCGCCGTTTCTCAGAAAAAAATATTTTAAAAAAAGGACACGTGGTGCACATCTTTGAATAAACATGAAAATTAATGTTTTTATCGTGCAAACAGCACTGCTACTTTCGGAATACACTTGCCTGTTGTGTTTGCTGTTTTCGGCAGCGACTGAATTTAGATATTACATTAAAGTATGAACAACTGTTCTAATACGGAGTTCTTTTGTTTGTTGTGTCGAACAAGTTTTCTTCTGTAAAAAACAAAATTTGTCTTTTTTTATCCGTTAAAGCTAGAACTATGTTTGAACCTAGAACAATTGTTAAGGCGTACGTCATAAGACCTAATTCAGCAGGAAAACAGTTTCTGATGGTCAAACTGTTAAAATTTTCGAAAATCTTTTTAATAAATGTTGAAGGATAAATCAAGTTCAGGTTCTTTATTACCTTAAGTTAATTGACTCCTCGGATACAGGAAAGTAACACCATAAACCATTTATAACAATATATAAACACACGATTACAGACACAATATAGACCCGGAGAGAACAAACTATTGGCTTAATTGAACATAAGCAGCCTTAATATGTGTAAACAATTTTGTAATTTCTTTTGTGTTTTTACACTAAAAAGTTCTATTAGTTTAAACGTACTAAGATATTCAATTTTCAATTTGAGAATTTTGGGGATTTCGCGAGAAAAATTAACAAAATAGGCATTTGTAGATTACAAAAGTAACAGTGTATTCATTGACTGATCAAATCAAACGTGATTATTTCAAGTAGACGATCGACATAAGTGCGCTATTCTCAAAATAATATCACCGATAAAAAATGAATCGGTACTTATGCAAGTATTTCAAATGATTTCAATACAGTTATCATGGCGAATCCTCTCAATTTATTGCCGATGCTTCATTCGAAACACATTGTCAATTGGCCAACCATGGCGTTTTGGTTAAACAAACTGACAAAGATGGCGGTCTGACCTGTCTTAGTTTGAGCGAGCGCAATCTATCGCAGAAAAAACTGTACTAAGGCAAGGTAACCAGTCTGTTTGGAGATGGACGTGACATGAATCTATATTTAATATCTTATCAATGATATATCGGGCTTTCCTAAAAGGGGTAATAAATTGAATCGCATTTCGTGTGTATTTACTGCACTATATTTATAATGTTTATGACATGCCTTAAGACTCGTAAAGACTTCTATCTGTTTACTAGTATTTAATTATAGTGTTTATTACGGGGAAACTCCTGAAGATTATCATGTCGACATCTGCATTACATAATAATGATAAATGTAATGAATTTTACAGACAGACGCCTGTATTCTGAATGTTGTAGGCGATATGAATTGAATTATGCAAAATAGTTGTATCGAAAATAAATAAAGTGAACACATTATGTTTAGACTGTATGTAAAGGAAGTTACAGAAAGTTAGTAGGACTTTCTCGCGTCATAATGACAAAACAAATCTGTTCTGTTCACATCATTTTTTCTGTCTTTTTTTCTGATATCCCATCACCAGCTGTAGACATTTAAGGACAGCCTTTATGAGTTGATTGCATGTGTTTTTCGGAGGCTGTGTATAAGTCTCCTTGAGACCGTGCGGAAATGAATCCGGATTTATAGTGCTACCACACAGAACTATACTACCGGAGTCCTCAAACAGGACACAACCCCAGTAAAATTATACTTACAATGGATGGAACAATCGTTACATAACCACGGTACTGAGCAGGCAATCATAAGTAACTACCATCTTTTGGACTCTGATACGTCTGAGTCAGGCACAGAACATAAAACAAAAACCCAGCCATATCGTTAACCTTTGGACGGTTGGAGGTCAGCAGAATGATCTGTCTTCTGAGTTCTGTTGTAATGCTGTTCACTAGACGTCTCTGCTGACGGAGATAAATGCCCTAGTCTTGCTGTACTTAGTATAACTGATTGACCGTTAGAAATTACAATTAGCTGATGACCAGTCAAAATTGATCAGACGAATACATCGCTAATGGATCACGCTGTTTTCCCAGTGTGACGTCCACGTAGAGTTCTAGGACCCAAACTCAACAATTCTAAATTTGTGGTAGAAAGTAGGTCTTTTCTATAATAATACATGTGTTTAACTATGTCTTCATACGGACCATGAAAACTATATTTGAGCCGACATCGAATGAATGCTTGTTTACAGTCGCTGTTATATATCATCAAGCTGTGAAGTTGGTGTGAATTACCAGTACAACACCAGTAAAATTGTCCTTCTTTGTATCTTTTCATTAACATGCAGGTTAAGCTATGAATTATTCTGTCATACTCGCTTACATTAAGTTTTTACATCGTACTGGATTTCAGGAAGTCCACAGTATAGAATTTAAAGGTTTTAAATTTCATTTTTAAAAGATCTTAATTACTTTGACGAGTTTTATAATAGGAATTTCTACTCTGTGACAGATATCTACATATGTCGTGTAAAAAATGTTCATTGTACCTTAAACATCCCGACCTTCTTATTCATAGTACCGTATATACCCTAATCACAGTACCGTATATACCCTAATCACAGTACCGTATATACCCTGATCACAGTACCGTATATACCCTGATCACAGTACCGTATATACCCTGATCACAGTACCGTATATACCCTGATCACAGTACCGTATATACCCTGACATTATGGATCACAGTACCGTATATATCCTGATCACAGTACCGTATATACCCTGATCACAGTACCGTATATATCCTGATCACAGTACCGTATATACCCTGATCACAGTACCGTATATACCCTGATCACAGTACCGTATATACCCTGATCACAGTACCGTATATACCCTGACATTATGGATCACAGTACCGTATATATCCTGATCACAGTACCGTATATACCCTGACATTATGGATCACAGTACCGTATATATCCTGATCACAGTACCGTATATACCCTGATATTATGGATCACAGTACCGTATATATCCTGATCACAGTATCGTATATACCCTGATCACAGTACCGTATATACTCTGATCACAGTACCGTATATACCCTGATAACAGTATCGTATATACCCTGATCACAGTACCGTATATACCCTGGTATTGTGGATCACAGTACCGTATATATCCTGATCACAGTATCGTATATACCCTGATCACAGTACCGTATATACCCTGATCACAGTACCGTATATACCCTGATCACAGTACCGTATATACCCTGATCACAGTACCGTATATACCCTGATCACAGTACCGTATATACCCTGATCACAGTACCGTATATACCCTGACATTATGGATCACAGTACCGTATATATCCTGATCACAGTATCGTATATACCCTGATCACAGTACCGTATATACTCTGATCACAGTACCGTATATACCCTGTATACCCTGACATTATGGATCACAGTACCGTATATACCCTAATCACAGTAGCGTATATACCCTAATCACAGTACCGTATATACCCTGATCACAGTACCGTATATACCCTGATCACAGTACCGTATATAGCCTGTATACCCTGACATTATGGATCACAGTACCGTATATACCCTAATCACAGTACCGTATATACCCTGATCACAGTACCGTATATACCCTGATCACAGTACCGTATATATCCTGATCACAGTACCGTATATACCCTAATCACAGTACCGTATATACCCTGATCACAGTACCGTATATACCCTAATCACAGTACCGTATATACCCTGATCACAGTACCGTATATACCCTGATCACAGTACCCCTGACATTCGTTGATCACAGTACCGTATTTATCCTAATCACAGTACCGTATATACCCTGATCACAGTACCGTATATACCCTGATCACAGTACCGTATATACCCTGATCACAGTACCGTATATATCCTGATCACAGTATCGTATATACCCTGATCACAGTACCGTATATACTCTGATCACAGTACCGTATATATCCTGATCACAGTACCGTATATACCCTGATCACAGTACCGTATATACCCTGATCACAGTACCGTATATACCCTGATCACAGTACCGTATATACCCTGATCACAGTACCGTATATACCCTGACATTATGGATCAC